TACAAATTATAATAATTTTCATTATATTATACTATCTAAATACAATTGCAAAATTTATTTTATTTGGCATGTTCCACGGACTTTCTGTTTCACCTAATATTTTGTAGCTATAATTATAATAATATTTGGAATTAGAATAAAATACAATTTTTTTTATCTATAATAAGATCTGTATATTGGAATTAATTGAAATAATAAAAGTACCCTAAGTAAATTTGATTAAGTTAAACCTTTGAATTGTTTTTAAAATTCTTAACTTATTAAGTACCATACTTAAAAACTAATACTTAATAATTTGATAATTATAATAAAACCACCACTATCTAACTATTAAACGTCATATGTCTGCCAATTTTTATTATTATTATTATATTGCATATAACTTCATGTGTTTTATCTTACGATACTTAATAATATATGATTATTTATTTTCAAACAAAGACTTTATAAGGTTATTTATAAAATATCAAATTAGAGACAATATTTAAATGTAAATATCAAAATCATATATATTGCAATACATAATAAACATGAAATTATTCAAATGAAATCAATGATTTCAAAATCCGTATGTATTTTACTTATATAATTTGCATTGCATATTTTAAGTAATTAGCTTATTACAATAAATATTATATAATATATAAAAATTTTATTGAATATAACTTTATTAATATAAACAATAAAAATATTAGTCAGTACTTGACTTTGAACTATGAATTTTCAAGTACTTAAATCTACTTGAATAACTAAATGAAATTGAAAGTATAATTTAAGAGGTATTTACGTAGGTTACAAAATTAAAGCTACTCAAAATATCATCAACCTTAAAAGTCGCTGGTCCTTTATAAGATTATTGAAGTGTGTATTGAATCTGAGAAAAAATCCCTTGTAAGTTTTGAGATTATGTTTACTATATAAACATTACATTTCCACATGCCAAATAAAATAAATTGTCTTATCATTATTAAGTAATATTAATTTTTTCTTTACTCAATTAAATATTTATTAATATATCTGTACTATATTAAATTTACTTAATTACTTTATAAAAGTATAAATACTTTTACTAAAAAAGCATATAATTAATTAGACTATTTCAAATGTATAAATTTTGCAATTGTATTTAGATAGTATAATATAATGAAAATTATTATAATTTGTATAATGCAAATATTTGTTGGTAATGTACAGCTTAATATAATCAATGGTATTGTATCAAGGAAAATTAACTCCCCACTATATGAGCTTGTTGATGATGATGACCAACTTGCATTTCCGTGTTTGCAAAGAATATACTCCAATGTGACCAGGTGCAATCAGAGTCGGGGTTGCTTTACCTATACTAATGGACATAAAAAGAATTCATGCCATTGGCTGTGGTCTAACATAGAGTGCAATAAATTGCATATTAAGGTAAGCAAAAATACAAATAATAAATAATAACATAGAAAATTGCAATACAATACAATGAATATTTTAATTAATATAAATCCAGATCTTATTTTGTATAAAGGGCATTATTTATTTTCTCTCTCTCTCTCTCTCTCTCTCTCTCTCTCAAACTTATCAATGATATAATTAATAAATTCTTAAATTCTAAATAGATATAAATAAATAATTAATAATTTAACTAATTTTTTTCATCTAGCTGAAATGTACACTAAGCGAACAAAAGTCAGTTTTGGATATAATGGAGTCCATGAGTGTAATGGTGATAGACATGCAGTCGGCAACACAAGTCATATACAGCCAAAGTGATTGTCAGGTGCTTAACCTTATGAAGTCCGAGTGTACTAGCTCATCGCATATATTACTAATAAATAAGACATTATTAATAATACTATTTATTTTCTGTAAATTATTATCAAATTTATTTTAATGTTATTTATTTGTAAATATTGTAAATATACTAATAAAATTGTAAATAAAATGTTGTAAATAAAATTAAGTTTTTTAAAAATACTTGAATTATATTAATATATTAAAATATTTATGCAAAAATTTATTAAACCCATGCTAACATGTTCATGGTGAGCATGGTGCACTGTTTTCATATATTGAGCTAGTTGGTGAGGGTAGTTTTGGTAGAATGCATAAAGTTAAATGTAAAAGCAATGGTAAAATTTGAGCCGTTAAGGAGATTATTAGAAATCAGCATGATGGTTTGTTATTATTAAAAATAAAATTGTATAAATTTATACAGTAATATTATAGTTTACTTATTTTTTAGCCTTGTTTTCGGAGGTGCAAGCAAACATCAATTTAGTCAACAGCGATTATGTTACCAAGTACTTATCGTGTTGGCATTCAGCAAATAAGCCTATCTATATTCAAATGGAATATTACGAATATAATCGCAAATATTTCATCCAGCTGAAAAACACCACCTTTAACAGATACCCTAGCTACAACATCACGATACATCACATTGAATATTTCATAGCCAGTGAAATATTTATCGAGCTAATTCACGGCCTGGACTATTTGCATAGTCAAAGGATATTGCACCGGGATCTAAAGGAGTCAAACATATTAATTGACAAAAAGGGTACTAATGGAGTGTTTTGTAAAATTTGTGATTTTGGATTAGCCGCCATATTTGAGGGCAGTTCCCTAGTGGACAGGCCTATGGGCACTGGTAATTATATGGCGCACGAAGCTTATCAAGGCTATTTTAAACGGCAAACTGATGTGTTTGCGCTAGGACAAATTGCGTCAAATCTGTTTAATAAGGACGTGTAATTTATAAATTATTATATTGATGTAGTTTTATTCTAAGTTAGCATTATCATTTTTGTTGTGAGCAAATAAATTTAATTTTATGTTTAGTGTACAGGTGTTAGATTATACATATAACTATTCTTATAATTCTTAAATTTTTATAAAAAGTACCCGGCAACATGAACAATTTGAGCTTGTTATTATGGGCATTATTGACAACATGCGCGCATTTATCTGGAACACAAGACCGACCACGGTACAATTAAATGAAAGCATTAGTACATGGCGTTTGAATTGTGACATATTGACTAATACAATTAATTTATCAGATATTTTAAATAGTCTTCGTAATGAAAACAACTCACTTTTGTTTAATTTCTTTGATAGAAAACTTAAATTTATAAAAATATGTACCGTATTCCCGCGCAACCACCGGCATGCCGGTGTAAAGTGAGGTTGATGAGACTGCCGTTATACCCCGGGGTATA